CATGCTAGTGAACATGTGATTCAATACGATTGGTCAGTATTGTCAGTGGTATTGTTGGGTTTTCTGTTTCATATGCAAAGTATTTTTGATTCCATTGAAATCAAACATCCAATCGATGAGTAAAATGATTTTCAGCATACAAAAGTTTAGCACGCCCTATAAAGCAAACTGTCACGCTGTTTGTAAAACAATAATAAATATGTACTTGAGAAGATTTGTGGGTATCAAAGTCAAGTCAAGTTGTCTAGTAAATTTTATGTAAAATCCGTACAATATACATATAACCTATATTGACCGCTTAGTTTATCATTTCTACAAAAATTTTGTTGTTTGTCCTAATACGGAATGTTCTTGTGGTATTTGTGTTGGTATATAGTGACCAGTTCATTGAGATTACCGTAAGAAAAAAAATGTGATCACGTGATATTTTCATAAACCAATCACATTACTGTGTCTTTAACTATGGAATGTCGGTTCATTATTATGAATCCTGATGAGTTCCGAAAGACAGATCAACTTGGCAGAAAATATCTGAAACGTTCAGTCGATTGGTTGATTTCAGCCTTTTTTTTGCATAAAAACTCCCTTTAATTCTGCATCCGGAATAGGGGGATTTCAGTTCTTAGCAAAATTTTCAGCCTTTTTAAGTGATAGGCCTAATACACCTCTGAATCTAAATGAGAAAATAGATGCAATGTATGGTATTTGGATCCGCACCTTAGAAGTGCCAAATTAAGATCGGGTTCGTGTCCCAACGAGAGGTATTACGTCACAGTAAGTTGTGTATTAGATTGGACGGAATAGATTTTACCTAGCTCTGTTAGTCTCGTTTTCCCCAGACTCTCGCTCTCGAGACTTGGCCCGAGCGAGAGTCTGGTCTGATTCCTATTTAATTTTTGTAACCAGTAGAGGTCGCTTTACCAAGATGGCGACTCCCATGAAAATTCACGAACGAATTTTCTTTTTAAACAAAGATGTGTGCGTGTTTTGCAGTTTAAAAAACAGACAGAGGTATTATATAATTAAAGTAGATAAAAGTAAAGGCGCAGCCTTTGAATTGACAGTGAACTTTTTAAAGAAAGACCTCAGCATCGAGGAGAATTTAGGAACCTACGCCTGTATATCTTGCTACAAAATGTTGCAAAGAATAAATGATATTGACAGTAGGCGCACCCAGTTACACGATAAGCTTATGTCAAGCTGTCAAAAGTTCAGAGTCATTAGTGTGAAAAAGCGCAATATTCATGGAAATCAAACCCCTACAATGTCAAAGTTTCAGGATCAGAAATCCACACCGGTGTCATCACTGACTTCAGCGTCACATGGTCTCGACTTGCCATCTGGAAGCAAAGGTAGAGTAAATATATCCTGTTTAGTGAATGTATCACGTACCTCGTTCTTAAATATTTGGATATGATGTACCATTAATAAATAATAACAAGGTCAAGTACATTTAGCTATATATCTTAAAAGTATCACTGCATCAAAGTGCAGTAATAGCCAGTACTATTATGCACATCCAGCAAAAAATGCTAATTTACAAAATAGTTTAAATTAGTATCTATAAAAGTCAATTCAGGTAGGTTAATAAAGCTATGTAGATAATTAAAGCTAAGTAACTAAATCCAGTATATTTACTAGTCTTGATAACTATAAATAACCCCCTCCACACAATAAAAGATTTTTTTTTCAGGTTCTCTTAAAAAATATCCAAACCACCGACACCAAGAACGAGTAAGCTATTAACAAGGTCTTTGTTTCCATGTCCTTCTACGAAAGACACAGATAGTCTTGCTGTGCCTCTGTCACCTCTCACATGCAAAAAACGAGAACTAAAGACTGTGCAGATTTCAAAACTGAAACACACTGTATCATTTCGTTCTGCTCAACTTGTTGAGCAACTTCTTCCTGTCACAACAGCCTTAGCCAATGGTAGTATCAGAAAAGCATTAACATTACTCTTGAATTCGTCTAATGCTACAATCAAAGAAAAAGTAAAAAGAGAGATTCAAAATGTGATAAATAAAGAGTGTTCTACCTTTTCCAAACGTGATCTTGAGCTACAACTGCAGAAGACAGATACTAGTGATTTGGAAAGCTTTGACTTGAAAAAAATTCAGGAAGACTTCGAAATCCATGCACCTTTCTTGTGGTCTTTTGCCTCGCAGGCAGCTACATCAAAGTACACCAAAACATATGATTGTGTAAAAGTTACTTCAGCTTTGTGTGTTCTATTGCAGGGGAGATCAAGAGTTCTCAATTCCCTTCAACATTCTGTTGCCATAGCCATGTATAATAATCGGCTACAAAAAGATGGATTCTCGGTGTTAGCGAGATTGGGATTCTCTGTTTCACATGCGACAATGAATGCAAAGTTAAACATTGCTAAAGCACAGAATGAGAATCTCATGAAGACATATCAGAGCAGTTTGAAAGACTTTATAGCAAGTAATAGCTGTGTTGAAGTGATTGAAGCCGAGCACACATATGCTACTGTTGGTGTTGAAAAGAAACTTATGGGTAGAATGAAGGAACATTCGTATGCAGTGTATAATGCAGAACCTGAAAGAAACAATGCACCTCTAGGTTACAGATTTAATCTTGATAATTTAGATTTTCATATCCGAGTTCGAGAAATGACACAAGAACATCAGAACATTTCTAGGCATTTCACACAAATTATGGCCTTGGTTGATCGTGTTAATTGTGAACATTTGTCAGATGAACCTGTTGGAGATTTGTTGAATGTTCAAAACAGTGAATTTCTCCCAACTGTTGAAGACAACTACACTTTGAGAAAAGATATGATACAGGTTGTATCCAACATCCTTGTGGAAAATCTACCATCCTTTCAAGTATTTAAGAACATATACCCAACACACTTCTTGCACATTTACTCTACAGAAATGGCAAAGAAATCAACTGTGGTATATTTCCATATCCATGTTTTTGTTGAAAGATCAGTTACTTGCTTATTTTAATGGATGTTGCTCAGGTAAATAGTTTAAGTACTCTACAGTAAAATGCTGTATAAGTGGAAATTTTAGCGAGACGCATACTTAGCGATTTCTACCTAAAATCTATTGTTTTATTTTTAGCAGCAGTAATTTTAGCGATATTTAAAATACAAACTAAAGAAGCTATTACAAATAATACGGAGTTAATTTTTTGCGATATTCAATTTAGCGATGTCAGCACCCTTGCTAATAATGCCAAAATTAAATCCTTGCTATAAATTCTACTTATACGGTATTTGTATAGCAAAAAATTGGTTAAAGCAAATGAATACTTATAACAATATCATTTGTTTTAATTATAACAATTAATATCAACAGGGTAAATTAATAAAATATCCATATAAAAATTTATCTGAGCTATACCTAGAAGTTTGTTACTGCTTTGTGTTACTGTACATTGCTGTTGGAACTTTTTAATAGGGCATATTTATGTTATATAAGTAAAATTATTTATTAAAAGGCAGCTCAAACTTGTACCACCATTCATAATAAAAAGCAAACTATCTGACAATCTATTTGATTTGAAATGAAAATTACCCGGTTTGATTTTCACCTGATTTATGGTTTTGAAAATGCAATACTAGCGTATTATTTATCAGGGGATGTGATGGTAAGGGAGGATATTAACATTAAGTATGCAGAGAAAGTTCTTTTTTAAACAAGTATTGGTAACAATTTTGAGTTTCTGTCTTGCTGCATGGTCATTTCAATTTTTTCATATTCATAGTTGTTCAGAAGTGTTATAAGTTATTCCTTTTTCACTTTGAAAGGTATAATTAAGGTACAAGGTACAATTAATTGGACAATAATCAAAATTGTGTAAAATCCTTAGGTGGAGTATTTTTATTTGTAAACACCTTCAAATGGATATGATGATTACAAAAATCGCACCATTCATTTATTAGATTTAAATATGGTCATTAGGCATTGAATATCTTATTCAGAAAAGCTCACTTAAGCTTTTGGGCGTAATAGAAGATGTGTTCATGATATGCAAAATTTCTTATCAAATTAAATGCTTTTTGTGATTATGAAATAATTACATGATTCCAACAATGGAAACTTACATGGTTGTTATTGTGGAGCCCCTTTTTTCCCAGCAATTGAGACATTCTCTGTGAACATTCCCAAAGGAAAAATTCTGTCGAGGTCTCTCTCCTCTACTTTCAGAATCATACCATTAATGTATACGGTTTGTCCAGCTCTATTGAAATAAAATATTTTTTCATTTCAATGAAATATGAGAAAAGTTTCCAGAATTTGAGAAATTCTCAGATAATCATATTTCTTAAAATGGTATATATTTATACAACCAAATTTACATACTGATCAAAATTTGCAGCTTCAATTGTTCCAGCAAAGTCGTCATCCTCCTGCAGAATCTGTAAAGAAAAGTTCTGTATATTTAAAAATTGCTGCATGCAACTTTAATTGCTTTAGATAATGAAAATTTTAGTACCAAGTGTATTGGTAATGATCCTCTTGTAAGAATCTTGAGTCCCAATAGCTGCATTAAATTTGCAATGATTGTGCAGTGTGAGGCAGCTCTGTATGGAAGTCCCACGCCATCAGAAACATTTTCAATTTTCTTGTGCTTGGTCATTGGTGAATTATTCACACATTCGTTTTGGATAGATTCACAATATATTCTCAGAAATTAAACAGTGGACATCATAAAATTGGAACAAACATTTAATAATTGCTAACAGTCCACTTCTGTCACTAAGGTAACTGAAAAACTTCAATGCATAAGCAAAATGATTCTTATGCACTGGCCAGTAATTAATTACTTTAGAATATTGTTTGAATTCTATTAAACATTTTCCTGCAATAATAATGCAATTAAGAATTTTACAAACCTCACAGGTTGTGTTTTTGGTTGAATTTAATGAATATTTATCCTTGTAAATATCCACAGACAGACATTTCAGCTTGACAATTTCTCCTACAGGGCACTCTTTGTTGCTTTCCTCATTCCAGAGTTTAACTTCCACCAACATTTCCGTCTTCTTCAATTGAAATGATCTTTCTTTTGCTGACTTCGGTTTCCAGCAGTGATGACACCTGAAATGATAAGATGAAGTCCATATGGGAACATATGATCACTTTCGTTAAATTGAAAATATAAATAAACTAGATACGATCTCGTTGCGAGCAACGAGTGGGTCTTCCGTCAAATTTTCGATGAAATTCATCAAAAGCAGGAATTTATCGTAATATCCGACTATCGTATTATCGGATCGACTTAAACAGCGTAAAATAGAATTCCGGTTAATCTGATCGACTTATATACCGACAAATAGGAATGTTCTAGAATAATGACGTCACATGCGCAATTAGGATGCGCGTACGGTTCAAATATTCAAAATGGAGGATATCAATATATAAGCTGTCATATCATTGGTTGACCAATCACAGCCATCGTTAAATGTCCGCCATTGTAACTAAATATAAGTTGTTTACTTCTAAAACGCGAGGACATGTTCTGTCAAAACAGAATGCTTATAGATATGAGCTAATAGTTTCTGAATTAGTGCATTAAAAATCACAAGAAATATACCGTTGGAAACCTCTCAAAAAGATCTATATGATATTTTAAAAAGTTTAAAAATCGGTCTAGAAATGAACATATCATATCTAGACAAGTAACACTAAAGCAGTGAAACGGCAATCAACTTTTAGTTTTACACAAAATTGCAACGTTACTACTACATTGCAATACAAGAAGTCTTTTACATTTCATGTATCCTTATGTTAGTTTCGTTTAAGCAAATGCTCGGCTGCCTCCATAAACACCGACCTGCGAAATGGCGGAGTTGACAGAGACAGCCGCCATCTTGGTCCCGCTTCAGATTTTCAAATGTAGATATCTGGAGTTTATATTTACCAATATTCAAACAACTTATATAGTAAGCTTCAATAAAAGGGTCTCTATAAATATTCCAAAAATAAATAAAAAATATTGAAAAACAAAAAAGTTAGAAAAAACGATTTTTTAAATTCGCTTGTCGTAACGACCGGAAGTACTGACGATGAACGAAAGGTCGCGTCCTGGGAAGTGAATATCATGATCAATAATCCCTGAAAGTTTCACATCGATATCTTTTACAGTTCTTGAGATTAACCGTGGACAAAATGTCATTTTAAATTCAGGAAATGTCCCGTAACTTGGCACCAAAAAAGAATTTCCTAAAAATCGCTCAGATAGATCAAGTTCATGTTACGACACATCTTTTCTGAAAATTTCATGTAATTCTATCCGGCAGTCTTCGAGAAATCGCGTGCACAAAATTAGAAACTCAAAAAAATAATAAGAATAATAACTAGATACGATCTCGTTGCGAGCAACGAGTGGGTCTTCCGTCCGATTCTTGATGAGATAAGATTTTGATTGAGAATTTCATTCTTAAATAATGATAAAGATTGTAAAGAAGAAACAATTTTGCCTCCATAATCTGAAAACAGTCATTGAACATTAAAGACTTTAAAATTCAACTTTTGGCCCTCACGGCCCCTAATATTAGGGATCAGCCCTTTTTTCTTCATATCATCTTAAAGCTCTCAGGATTTTGAACACTTTATGTTCAAAACTATTCAGAGATTCCGTTTCGTTTTCAAGTTATTAAAAAAAGAAATATTTAGGGGCCAATCCTTCAACTCCTTAATGGGCACATTTAGCGAAACATGAAAGGTTGCTTATTGTTTAGAACATGCTTTCAAACATCTTTTGTTCAATATTAATAAATAAAATATTTCTGACTTTTGAGACATAAAGCGTCAAAGATTACGCATTCTTGCCCCTTGTGGCCCTTATTATGCACCATAGGACATTCAAATCATAATATATTGTTGAAGATTGTTGAGATAAACGTTTTTGCTTCAGTAATGTATAACAAAATATTGACAGGTAAAAAGTTATAGATTGAAGACTTTTGGCCCCTCTCGGCCCTTAATTTGAGTGCCCAGCCCCTTTTCCTTGATCTCATTTTAAAGCTTTCATGATTTTGAACAATTTTTGTGCCACAACTATTCAGAGATTCTTTTTCGTTTTTGAGTTATTTCCAAAAGAAATATCTAAGGGCCAAACCTTAAACTCCCTAATGGGGACGTTTAACAAAAAATGAAAGGTTGCATATTCTTTAGAACATGATTTTGAACATCTTTTGTTCAATATTCATAATCAAAATATTTCGCACTTTGGAGATATTAAGCTTCAAAGATTTAGCATTCTAGCCCCTTGTGGCCCCTAATTATGTACCATTCGACATAAAAATCATATTATATAGTTGCAGATTGTTGAGATAAACATCTTTACTTTAGTAAGGCATTACAAAATATTAACTGATAAAGAGTTATCAATTGAAGTCTTTTGGCCCCTCTCGGCCCCTAATTTGAGTGTCCAGCCCCTTTTTCTTGATTTCAACTTAAAGCTCTTAGGATTTTGAACAATTTTTGAGCAACAACTATTCAGAGATTCTTTCTCGTTGTCCGAGTTATTCGCAAAAGAAATATTTAGGGGCCAACCCTTCAACTCCTTAATGGGGACGCTTATCGAAAAATGAAAGGTTGTATATTGTTCAGAACATCATTTTGAACATCTTTTGTTCAATATTACTAATCAAAATATTTCTCACTTTCGAGATATAAAACATCAATGATTTAGCATTCTGCCCCCTTATAGCCCCTAATTATGTAATATACGACATAAAAATCATAATATATAGTTGTGAGTGGTTGAGATAAACATTTTTGCTTCAGTAATGTTTAGCAAAATTTTGTCTTTCAAAGACTTATCAAAAAAAGACTTTTAGCCCCTCTTGGCCCCTAATTTGAGTGTCCAGCCCCTTTTTCTGGATTTCATCTTAAAGCTCTTAAGATTTTGAGCACTTTTTGTTCAACAACTCTTCAGAGATTCTTTTTCGTTTTCGAGTTATACGCAAAAGAAATATTTAGGGACCAACCCTTCAACTCCCTAATGGGGACGTTAAGCGAAAAATGAAAGGTTGCATATTGTTCAGAACATTATTTTGAACATCTTTTGTTCAGTATTTCTTATCAAAATATTTCTCACTTTTGCGGTATAAAGCGTTAAAAATTTAGCATTCCGACCCCTTGTGGCCCCTAATTACGCAATGTAGAACATAAAAACCATAATATACGGTTGTAGATTGTTGAGATAAACATTTTTGCTTCAGTAATGTATAACAAATTATTGACTGTTAAAGAGTTATCGAAAAAAGACTTTTAGCCCAATTTGGCCCGTAATTTTAGTGTCCAGCCCCTTTTTCTGGATTTTATTTTGAAGCTCTTAGGATTTTGAACACTTTCTGTTCAACAACTATTCAGAGATTATTTTTTTGTTTTCGAATTATTCGCAAAAGAAATATTTAGGGGCCAACCCTTGAACTCCCTTATGGGGACGTTTAGCGAACAATGAAAGGTTTCATATTGTAAAAAACATAATTTTGAACATCTTTTGTTCAATATATCTTGTAAAAATATTTCTCCCTTTCGAGATATAAAGCGTCAAAGATTTAGCATTCTGGCCCCTTGTGGCCCCTAATATGTAACATACGACATAAAAATCATAATATATAGTTGTAGATGGTTGAGATAAACATCTTTGCTTCAGTAATGTATTACAAAATATGAAAAGGTAAAGAGTTATCGATTGAAGACTTTTAGCCCCTCTTGGCCCCTTATTTGAGTGCCCAGCCCCCTTTTCAGGATCTCATTTAAAAGCTCTGAAGATTTTGAACATTTTGTGTTCAACAACTGTTCAGAAATTCCTTTTAGTTTTTGAGCTATTAGCAAAAGAAATATTAAGGGGCCAACCCTTCAACTCCCTAATAGGGACTTTTAGCGAAAAATGAAAGGTTGCATATTGTTCAGAACATGATTTTGAATATCTTTTCTTCAATATTACTTGTCAAAATATTTCACACTTTCGAGATATAAAGCGTCAAAGATTTAGCGTTCTGGCCCCTTTTTGGCCCCTAATTATATATTATACGACCTTAAAATTATAATATACAGTGGTAGATTGTTGAGATAAACATTTTTGCTTCAGTAATGTTTAGCAAAATTTTGTCTTTCAAAGACTTATCAAAAAAAGACTTTTAGCCCCTCTTGGCCCCTAATTTGAGTGTCCAGCCCCTTCTTCTGGATTTCATCTTAAAGCTCTTAAGATTTTGAGCACTTTTTGTTCAACAACTCTTCAGAGATTCTTTTTCGTTTTCGAGTTATACGCAAAAGAAATATTTAGGGGCCAACCCTTCAACTCCCTAATGGGGACGTTAAGCGAAAAATGAAAGGTTGCATATTGTTCAGAACATTATTTTGAACATCTTTTGTTCAGTATTTCTTATCAAAATATTTCTCACTTTTGCGGTATAAAGCGTTAAAAATTTAGCATTCTGACCCCTTGTGGCCCCTAATTACGCAATGTAGAACATAAAAACCATAATATACGGTTGTAGATTGTTGAGATAAACATTTTTGCTTCAGTAATGTATAACAAATTATTGACTGTAAAAGAGTTATCGAAAAAAGACTTTTAGCCCCTTTTGGCCCCTTATTTGAGTGCCCAGCCCCTTTTTTCGGATTTTATTTTGAAGCTCTTGGGATTTTGAACACTTTCTGTTCAACAACTATTCAGAGATTATTTTTTGTTTTCGAATTATTCGCAAAAGAAATATTTAGGGGCCAACCCTTGAACTCCCTAATGGGGACGTTTAGCGAACAATGAAAGGTTTCATATTGTAAAAAACATAATTTTGAACATCTTTTGTTCAATATATCTTGTAAAAATATTTCTCCCTTTCGAGATATAAAGCGTCAAAGATTTAGCATTCTGGCCCCTTGTGGCCCCTAATATGTAACATACGACATAAAAATCATAATATATAGTTGTAGATGGTTGAGATAAACATCTTTGCTTCAGTAATGTATTACAAAATATGAAAAGGTAAAGAGTTATCGATTGAAGACTTTTAGCCCCTCTTGGCCCCTTATTTGAGTGCCCAGCCCCCTTTTCAGGATCTCATTTAAAAGCTCTGAAGATT